GCGCGAGGTGGTCCAGCCTGTTTCGTCTGAGACATCCTCGCAACTCTGGGCTCCGAGATGCCGCGCACGAGGTGTTCCAGCGCGTTTTGTTTTAGGCATCCTCGCAACTCTGGACTCCGAGATGCCGCGCGCGAGGTGGCCCAGCCCATTCCGCTTGCGCTTGTGGCATCCTCGCAAGTCTGGGCTCCGAGATGCCGCTCACGAGGTGGTCCAGCGCGTTTGGTTTAGACATCCTCGCAAATCTGGGCTCCGAGATGCTGTGCGCGAGGTGGTCCAGCCCGTTCCGCTTGAGAAGTTCTCGTAATTCTACGCTCCGAGATGCCGTGCGAGAAGTGGCCTGGCCGGCCCGTTTTGCCCGAGATATCCTCGCAACTCTGAGCTCCGAGATGTCGCGCGCGAGGTGGTCCAGTCTAGTTGGCTTGAAACATACTCACACTTCTTGGCTCCGAGATGTCGTGCACGAGGTTGTCTGGTGCGTTTTGCCTGAGACATCCTCGCAACTCTGAGCTCCGAGATGCCGCGCGCGAGATTATCAGGCAGGTTTCGCCTGAGACATTCTCGCCCATCAGAGTCCGAGATGCCGCGCGCGAGGTGGTCCAGCCCGTTTCGTATGAGACATCCTCGCAACTCGGGGCTTCGAGAAGATGTGCGCGAGGTGGTCTAGCTTTTTTCGCGTGAGACATCTTCGCAACTCTGTGCTTTGAGATACCGCGCGAGAGTTGATCAGGCACGTTTCGCCTGAGACATCCTTGTCCATCTGGGCATGGCAGATGCCGCGCGCGAGGTGGTCCAGCCCGTCCCGTCTGGTCTGAGACAGATTCGCAATTCTGGGCTTCGAGAAAATGTGCGCGAGGTGGCGTGGCCCGTTTCGCCTTAGACTCATCGCAATTCGGGGTTCCGCGATGCAGCACGCGAGGTGGTTTGGTCTAGTTCGCCTGAGACATCATCGCAGTTCGGAGTTCCGGGATGCTGCGCGCGAGATGGTCTGGCGAGTTTCCCCTGAGACATCTTCGCAAGCTTGGGCTTTGCGATGTTGCGCGCGAGGTGTTCTTGTTCGTTTCGCCTGGGACATCCTCTCAATATGTGGCTCTGAGGTGCTGCGCGCGAGGTGGTCTGGCCCGTTTCGCTTCTGACATCCTCGAATAGAGGAGGGAGGAGGGAGGAAAGAGGAGGGAGGAGGGGTCAGACCCAAACGCCAAACGTACTATTTCATTACACTTCTATTGTCGAATTGTGCACTGGGAGGGGTCTTGGCGCCTTCTGGGCTGCAAGATGCCGCGCGCGAGGTGGTCCAGCGCGTTTCGACTGAGACATCCTCGCATCTCTCAGTCCCGAGACGCGCGCGGAGTGCAATAAGGTCCTAACTGATTAGGGGGATGAGGAGGAGAAGGATGAGGAGGGGGAGGAGGAAACCGAGGAGGAGGAGGAAGAGCACCGGTTGGATGAAGATGAATTGTATGAGGAGGGAGACAAGGACACGTGACATGAGGAGGTGCATGAGAAGGAGGAGGAGGAGGCGGATGAGAGAAAGGATGATGAGGATCATGACGATAATGACGATGCTGATGATGATGATGCTGATGATGACGATGATGATGATGGTGGTGGTGATGCTGAGGATGCGCATGACGAGGATGCTGCTGCTGATGATGATTGTGATGATGCTGATGCTGAGCATACTGATGGTGATGATTCTGACGATGACGGTGACGATGCTGATGCGTATGATGATGACGATGATGATGGTGATGACGATGATGGTGATAATGAGATTGATGATGTTGCTGATGATGATGGTGAACATGATGACGATGATGATGGTGTTGATGATGGTAATTGTCATGATGGAATTGATGCTGATGATGCCGATGATGGCGATGACGGCGACGATGATGATGACGATGCTGATGAGGATATTGATGACGCTGATGAGGCTGATGCTGATGATGATAACGATGATGCTGCTGATGATGATGATGATGCTAACGTTGATGCTGCTGCTGATGGCGACTGCGATGATGATGCTGATGATGATGATCATGATGATGTCGATGATGCTGACGCTGCTGTTGCTGCTGCTGTTGCTGCTGATGAGGGTGATGCTGAGGATGCTGATGAGGTGATAGTGATGATGCTGATGATGATGATGCGGATGCTGACGCTGCTGCTACTGATGACGATGATGCTGAAGCTACTGATGATGATGATGATGATGATGATGATGATGATAAGAAATGATTTTGACGATGATGACGATCATCATGCTGCTGATGATGAAAATGGCAATGACGATTTTTATGGCAATAATGATGAGGAGGATGAGGAGGATGAGGATGACGTTGATGAGAATGATGATGATGATGATGATGATGATGATGGCCATGATGATGACGCTGCTGATGATGATTTTGATGCTGATGATGCTAATGATGATAATGATGAATGATGGTGGTGATGATGATGATGCTAATGATGATGCTGACGCTGATGCTGATGGTGAAGATGATGGCGATTCTTATGATGATGATGGTGATGATGATGGTGATGGCGGTGGTGATGATGAGGATAATGCTTATGATGATGATGATGATGATGATGATGATGATGATGATGATGGGTGTAATGATGCTGATGATGATGCTGATTATGAGGAGGAGGATGACGATGACGACGACCATGACGATGATGATGATGATGATGATGATGCTGATGATGAGTATGAGGATGGTGAGGATGCTGCTGCTGATGATGATGATGCGGGTGGTGTCGATGATGAAGCTGGCGAGGAGGAGGAGGAGGACGAGGACGAGGACGAGGAGGAGCGACATGAAGAGGTGAGTGGGAGTAATAGTAGTAGTAGCTGTAGTAGCAGTCGTAGTAGTAGTGGTAGTAGTAGTAGTAGCAGTAGTAGTAGTAGTAGTAGTAGTGGCAGTAGTAGTAGTAGTAGTAGGAGTAGTAGTAGACGTCGTAGTAGTAGTAGTAGTAGTAGTAGTAGTAGTAGTAGTCGTAGTAGTAGTAGTAGTAGTAGTAGTAGTAGTAGTAGTAGTCGTAGTCGCAGTCGTAGTCGTAGTAGTAGTAGTCGTAGTAGTAGTAGTAGTAGTAGTAGTAGTAGTAGTAGTAGTAGTAGTAGTAGTAGTAGTAGTAGTAGTAGTAGTAGTAGTAGTAGTAGTAGTAGTAGTAGTAGTAGTAGTAGTAGTAGTAGTAGTAGTAGTAGTAGTAGTAGTAGTAGTAGTAGTAGTAGTAGTAGTAGTAGTAGTAGTAGTAGTAGTAGTAGTAGTAGTAGTAGTAGTAGTCGTAGTAGTAGTAGTAGTAGTAGTAGTAGTAGTAGTAGTAGTAGTAGTAGTAGTAGTAGTAGTAGTAGTAGTAGTAGTAGTAGTAGTAGTAGTAGTAGTAGTAGTAGTAGTAGTAGTAGTAGTAGTAGTAGTAGTAGTAGTAGTAGTAGTAGTAGTAGTAGTAGTCGCAGTCGTAGTAGTCGTAGTAGTAGTAGTAGTTGTTGTAGTAGTGGTAGTAGTAGCAACCGTAGCAATCGTAGTAGTAGTAGTCGTCGTAGTCGTAGTCGTCGTCGTCGTCGTAGTAGTCGTAGTAGTAGTAGTAGTCGTCGTAGTAGTAGTAGTAGTAGTAATAGTAATCGTCGTAGTGGTGGTCGTAGTAGTAGTCGTAGCAGTAGTAGTAGTAGTAGTAGTCGTAGTAGTCGTCGTAGTCGTAGTAGTCGTACTAGTCGTAGTAGCCGTACTCGTAGTAGTAGTAGTAGTAGTAGTAGTAGTAATAGTAATAGTCGTAGTGGTGGTCGTAGTAGTAATCGTAGCAGTAGTAGTAGTAGTAGTAGTAGTAGTTTTAGCAGCAGTAGTAGTAGTAGTGGTAGTAGTAGTAGTAGTAGCCGTACTCGTAATAGTAGGAGGAGGGGGAGGGGAAAGAGGGGGAGGGGCAGTTGTAGTGGAGAGGGGGGGGGGAGGAGGGCGAGAAGGAGAATGACGCGGATGTGGAGACATGAGGAGGATATGGCTAATGACGACGACAACGAATGCTCGACGCCAACACCGAAGACGCAGGCCGATCAGGAGCAGGAGGACGCGCGAAAACTATGGGACGCCACCTTGGCTGGAGAAGCGTTGTTTGGGGTCTGGACCCTGGCTGAAATTCAATGTTTTCGGCTTCCGGGGGTCGCTTCTGGGCCCCATGGCAGTCAACGAGAAGACTCGGGATGAAGCGCTGGTCCCAGAAGAAGGGTCTGGACTTCCGTGGACCCTGCACCGAAAAGTTCAAGACGTGGAATGTCTCGGCCTGTGCGCAGCTTCTAAGCCCCTCCATTTCCCCTCCGACGCTGCCATGTGCTCGTAGCGCGCGCCGCCCGGGGATCTCGACGGGATCGGCCTGCAGAGGCCCTATGACCCCACGGCACACTGGCAGTCGCGACTTTTACTGCGACGCCCAGGCCTGCCACGCCAAAGTCGGGGGCGCCGAAGGGGGGGGGGGTGAGGACTAAGGGGTCGCGGATTGTCATGGCCGGGGCCATTCAATCGCGCACATGCCACATCGCGCACATGCCTCGGGCCATGATGCGCTGGCCTGTCTCTTCCTGGACCCGTCCCCAGACGTCCGACGTCGTAATCCTTTCGCAGCGAGGCTCCCCACCGGTCTAGACCTCCTCTTGGGGACCAGCTTCTCATCCCGATTCGTTTTTTGATGGCCCCGGGGCCCGGACAGGACCCCAGACGGCCGAAAAATATCAACGTCCTTCCTTCGTCATTCTTGTGCGACGCGCAGCTGTCAGGGTTCCTGGGCCCCCTCTGCTCAGGGTCAATGTTTGGGGGGATTGGCTCAGGGGGGGATGCATCGACCCTCAATCGCCCACTGCGTCACCCCGCCCATGAACGTGGGACTCGCAATCGGGGGCCTATCGCCGATCTATCGGCGAAGTACCGCCGATACCAGCTCGATGTTTCCCCCCTGAGCCAGCCCCTCCCTATCGTTGTCTTTCCCTCCGGCGCACCCGACACCAGGACGTCGACATCGCCACGGCGCCAGAGGAGCACCACCACCACGCGCTCGCGGCCCGGCTGCACGCAAGAGCGCGTTTCCAAGCAGATTCTGGCAAAGTTACGTGTATGGCATTTCCTGCGATCAGAGCGTTGTTTTTCCCAACCATCCTGTGGTGTTGGGTCCTCGTTTTGAAGAGACGGTGCCCCGCGTTCCTCTCCTCCTCTCCTCTCCTCTTCTCCTCCCTCTCCTTCCTCCTCCCTCCTCCCACCATCATCATCGTCATCATCATCATCGTTGTCGTCGTCGTCATCATCACCGTCATCATCATCTTCGTCATAATCCTCGCGACCGTCCTCATCACCATCATCGTCATCATCATCGCAGTCATCACCACTATCTCCTCTCACACGTTTCGTGGCCCCATAGGGAGCTCCACCGAAGGCCCCAGTGCCGCCGCCCGCATGCGTCAGCCACACCCAAATTCGGCACACCCCTCACACGCCTTCGTGGCCCCATAGGGAGCTCCACCAAAGGCCCCAGTGCCGCCGCCCGCATGCGTCAGCCACACCCAATTCGGCACACCCCTCACACGTTTCGTGGCCCCATAGGGAGCTCCACCGAAGGCCCCAGTGCATGCGTCAGCGACAGTTTCGTGGCCCCATAGGGAGCTCCACCGAAGGCCCCAGTGCCGCCGCCCGCATGCGTCAGCACACCCATTCGGCACACCCCTCACACGTTTCGTGGCCCCATAGGGAGCTCCACCGAAGGCCCCAGTGCTGCCGCCCGCATGCGTCAGCCACACCCATTCGGCACACCCCTCACACGTTTCGTGGCCCCATAGGGAGCTCCACCGAAGGCCCCAGTGCCGCCGCCCGCATGCGTCAGCCACACCCATTCGGCACACCCCTCACACGTTTCGTGGCCCCATAGGGAGCTCCACCGAAGGCCCCAGTGCTGCCGCCCGCATGCGTCAGCACACCCAATTCGGCACACCCCTCACACGTTTCGTGGCCCCATAGGGAGCTCCACCGAAGGCCCCAGTGCTGCCGCCCGCATGCGTCAGCACACCCACTTCGGCACACCCCTCACACGTTTCGTGGCCCCATAGGGAGCTCCACCGAAGGCCCCAGTGCGCCGCCCGCATGCGTCAGCCACACCCAATTCGGCACACCCCTCACACGTTTCGTGGCCCCATAGGGAGCTCCACCGAAGGCCCCAGTGCCGCCGCCCGCATGCGTCAGCCACACCCGCAACTTTCGGCACACCCCTCACTCGTTTCGTGGCCCCATAGGGAGCTCCACCGAAGGCCCCAGTGCCGCCGCCCGCATGCGTCAGCCACACCCATTTCGGCACACCCCTCACTCGTTTCGTGGCCCCATAGGGAGCTCCACCGAAGGCCCCAGTGCTGCCGCCCGCATGCGTCAGCCACACCCAGTTCGGCACACCCCTCACACGTTTCGTGGCCCCATAGGGAGCTCCACCAAAGGCCCCAGTGCCGCCGCCCGCATGCGTCAGCCACACCCAATTCGACACACCCCTCACACGTTTCGTGGCCCCATAGGGAGCTCCACCGAAGGCCCCAGTGCCGCCGCCCGCATGCGTCAGCCACACCCAATTCGGCACACCCCTCACACGTTTCGTGGCCCCATAGGGAGCTCCACCGAAGGCACCAGTGCCCGCATGCGTCAGCCACACCCAGTTCGGCACACCCCTCACACGTTTCGTGGCCCCATAGGGAGCTCCACCGAAGGCCCCAGTGCCGCCGCCCGCATGCGTCAGCCACACCCAATTCGGCACACCCCTCACACGTTTCGTGGCCCCATAGGGAGCTCCACCGAAGGCCCCAGTGCTGCCGCCCGCATGCGTCAGCCACACCCAATTCGGGCACACCCCTCACACGCTTTCGTGGCCCCATAGGGAGCTCCACCGAAGGCCGCAGTGCCGCCGCCCGCATGCGTCAGCCACATCCAATTCGGCACACCCCTCACACGTTTCGTGGCCCCAGCCCGCATGCGTCAGCCACACCCATGTCGGCACACCCCTCACACGTTTCGTGGCCCCATAGGGAGCTCCACCGAAGGCCCAGTGCCACCGCTCGCATGCGTCCCGCACACCCATTTCGGCACCTCCACCAAACACAGCGTTTCGTGGCCCCACAGGGACCTCCACCGAAGGCCCCAGTGGTGCCGCCCGCATGCGTCACCCCCACCCCAGCACAGCTTTTCGTGGCCCCACAGGGAGCTCCACCGAAGGCCCCAGTGGTGCCGCCCGCATGCGCCACCCCCACCCAGCACAGCGTTTCGTGGCCCCACAGGGAGCTCCACCGACGGCCCCAGTGGTGCCGCCCGCATGCGTCACCCCCGCCCAGTACAGCGTTTCGTGGCCCCACAGGGACCTCCACCGAAGGCCCCAGTGGTGCCGCCCGCATGCGTCACCCCCACCCAGCACAGCGTTTCGTGGCCCCACAGGGAGCTCCACCGAAAGCGGCACCCGCAATGCGATATTCACAACTGCGCATGGTTGGGTCCTTCGCCAGGATAATTTGTCACAACGGGCGTTGGCCAGATTTGGGATCGATCCGGCTCGACAGTGCTGCGGAAATGCGTAGCACCCCGCAGTTGCGGATAAGAGCGAGGGGGTGGCGGGGACGTCTGCGGTCTGCGAGGCTCTGAAGAAGCCCGTTGCAGGCGCTTAGTTTTTGAACTATACCGCGAGCCCGCCGCAGGCGCCACATCTTTTCAAACTTTACAGCAAGCCCGCCGCAGGCGCCGATTTGTTCGAGAAAGCAACGTGTGTGGGTAGCGGGTGGGTCGCGAGTGGGTCGCGGATGGGTCGCGGAGTGGGTCGCGGAGTGGGTCGCTCGGTGGGTCGCGAGTGGGTCGCGGATGGGTCGCGGGGTGGGTCGCGGATGCGTCCCGCGTGTGTCGCGGGTGGGTCGTGGGTGGGTCGTATATTTTTCTTCCCTGCAGGTCGGGCCCCGGCAAGCGGCGGGGCGGCCGTGGACCGTCGGCCTGGCCAGCGGCAGTGCTGATCGGCGGCAACCAGACCCCAAGAGGGACAGAGTGGGGACCGACCACGACGACGATGACGACGACGACGACGACGGCGACGACGACGACAACGACGACGACGAGCGAAAGAGAGAGCGATAGAGAAAACGACAGCAGGGCCACGAAAGGCACGAAGTAGGCCACGAAGGGCGACAGCGGGGACCCGAAGGGAATGCGTATGGGGCCACGAAAAGCGCGAACGAGCGGGGGCCACGAAGGGCAGATAATGCGGGGCCACAGGAGGCAACGACGGGGCCACTGAGGGTAGCAATCGGGCCACGTAGGGCAGCGAGGGGGCCACAAAGGGCGACAGCGGGGCCACGAAGGGCATGCACAGGGGGCCACGACGGGCGCGAAGAAGCGGGGGCCACGAATGGCATACGTACGTTGGGCCGCGGAGGAGAAGGACGGGGCCATTGAGGGCAGCAACGGGGCCATTAAGGGCAGCGAAGGGTCCGCGAAGGGCGACAGCAAGGCCACGAAAGGCATGCATGTGGGGCCGCGACGGGCGCGAACGAGCGGGGACCCACGAAGGGCATGCGTATATGGGGCCACGAAGGGCAGCGAGGGGGCCACGAAGGGCTGCAATGGGGCCGCGAAGGGCAGCAAGGGGGCCACGAAGGGCTGCAACGGGCCACGAAGGGCAGCGAGGGGGCCACGAAGGGTTGCGACGGGGACACGAAAGGCAGCGAGGGGGCCACGAAGGGCTGCAACGGGGCCGCGAAGGGCTGCAACGGGGTCAACAAGAGCCGCGGGGGGGCCACGGAGGGCTGCACCTGGGCCACGAAAGGCAGCGAGGGGGCCACGAAAGGCTGCACCGGGGCCACGAAGGGCAGCGAGGGGGCCACGAAGGGCTGCACCGGGGCCACGAAGGGCTGCAACGGGGGCCACGAAGGGCTGCAACGAGGCCACGAAGGGCTACGAGATCCCGACTCCGAAATAATCAGGGAGGGAGTCCTAAGCGTGGGCGCGACTCCTGGGTGCCTGAGTGTGGGAAGCGCGGCGGTTGAGTAAACTGCGGGTGATTCCAACGCAAGGGCGCTATTTTTGAGTAAATTGCAAGCGAGTTTACAGCGAGAGTTCGAGTCCAGAGCGCCAAGACGATCTTTGAATATATTGTAAGGAAGTCCCGGCGAGAGCGCGATTCCTGAGTAAAATGTGAGGAAATCTTGGGCGGGAGCGGGGGTCCTGGCTGAATTGTGAAGAACTGTCAGGTGGGAGCCGTTGTTGTTGTTGCAACCCAGGGGCCAACAACACAGTTTGACCTTCAAAGTTTTCCCTGATCAAAAAACAGAGTGCGAGCGCCGGGAGGGGCACTTCAACTGAAACATATAAAGTGCACCGGGGGATCAACAATAGTTATTCTTCAGTAGTGAGAGTTCAATCGCAACAACAACAGCACCTCCAACAACAGCAACAACAACACCAAACACCATGTCAAGTTTGTTCGGTCTTATCTGCTCGCGTGCCAGTCAACACGTATATCCCACACCCTCGATATCCGCCTTTGTTGTCTTCGATCGTACTCCCTTGGGGTCTATATTTCTTACCTGCAACGTGTATTTCATGCAGCCCCTACGGCAGGAGAAGAGCACGGATGGAAGAACGGGACAAGAGGAGGGAGGAGGATGGAACACGAGAGAGAACACGTAACATGAGAGGGGGCTGGGAGCAGAAAGCACGTGGCAAAACCAAACGGGCATATCGGGCGGGTAGACCCTAACGGGCGGGTCGGGAAGGCGCGCCCCGGCGGCCCGGTCGAGCAGGCGGGTTGCTGAAGCGTGCGTCTTGCATGAATCGCGAAGAAGTCTCGAGCGATAGCACGATTCCAAAGTGAATCGTGAGACGGGCCAAAACGAGAGCGTGATTCCTGAGTGTCGAGGGCGCGGCGTCTGAATATCTTACGAGGACGTTCCACGCGAGAGCGCGATCTCTTCATACATTGTGAGACGCGAGAGCGCGATTGGGGAATACATTGTGGGGGAGTATCAGGCGGGAGCCGTTGTTGTTGTAACTCGGGGGCCAGGGGCCCAGTCTGGTGCCCCCCAGCTTTCCTGGATAAAAAGCAGAGGGGGGGGGGCCCAGGAAGGGCACTTCAATTGAAACTCGCAACGCAACAACAACAACAACAACAACGCCAACAACAACAACATCAGCAGCATATACAACTACAACTACAATTACAGCTGCAACTACACTTGCAACCTAAATTGCAACTACAACTGCAACTACATCGACACTTACAGCTACAACTACATGAACAACTACCACTACAACTACAACTGCAACTACAATTGCATGAACAACAATCATGTTAATACTGTTCGGTCCTATCTGCTGGCGTGCCGTTTAACAAGTATTTCCCAAACCCTCGATACCTGTCTTCGATTGTTTTTCCTTGGGGGTATATTTTCATTACCTGCCACGTGCATGCAGCGCAACCCCCAAAACAGGGAATACGAGGACGGATGGAAGTGGGAAAAGGATGGAGTACGAGGGAGAACGAGTAGCAGGAGGGGATACGGGCAGATCGGGCGGGTAGACCCTAGCGGGCGGGTCGGGAAGGCGGGCCCAGGCGGCCAGGTCGAGCAGGCGGGTTGCTGAAGCGTGCGTCCTGCATGAATCGCGAAGAAGTCGCGAGCGATAGCACGAACCCAAAGTGAATCGTGAGGCAGGACAAAGCCAGAGCCTGATTACTGAGTGTCAAGGGCGCGGCGTCTGAATAAATTGAGAAAGTCCCACGCGAGAGCGCGATTCCTGCATAGCTTGTGAGGACGTCCCGCGCGAGAGCGCGTTTTTGGAACCGGAGGCGAGGGGGTGAGATCGCAGTGGGACGGACAGCCCCCCACCCGAAAATCGGTCTCGGTTTCGTGTTTGTGTCGTGCGTGCGGGCGGGGCGAGGCTGCGCGGGTGTGCGACAGGAGTGATGCCGCCGTGGGTAGAGACCGTGGAGCCGTTTGACCGTCCCGCCCCCGGGCGCGCGGTGTCCCGGGGTGCCCCGCCAGTGGTGCGGGGGTGCCCCAAAGGTGGTGCGGGAGTGCCCCGCCAGTGGTTGGGAAGTGCCCCGTCGGCGGTGCGGGGGTGCCCCGTCGGTGGCGGGGGTGTCCCGTCTGTGGCGCGATAGTGATATCGATTGCGAGATCACTTGTGACATGTATAGTGGGACTGGTAGTGAGGTCAATGGTGAGATCGATAGTTCGATTTGTGGTGAAAGCGATCGCGAGATTTATCGCGAGATCGATCGTGAGACCGAATGTGACATCGATACCGGTTCAATCGTGAGATCGATATCGGGGTCGATTGTTATATCGATTGTGAGATCGATTGTGAGACCGGTAGCAGTATCGATGGTGAGATCGATTGTGAGATCGATAGTGAAACTGGCCGATCGTGAGAATTGCTGTGAGATCGGCGGTGAATCCGTCTGGTGCCCCGCCAGTGGGCGGGGGTTCCCCGCCGGTGGTGCGGGGGTGCACCGCAAATGGTGCGGGGGTGCCCCGTCGGTGGTGTGGGGGGTGCCCCGTGGCGCTCCGTCGGTGGCGCGATAGATCGATCGTGAGATCGATGGTGAGACCGATAGCCAGGTCAATCATGCGATCGATAGTGAGGCTCTTGACGGGAATGATTGTGATATCGATCGTGAGATCGATACCCTGTCGGCATCAGGGGGTGCCCCGTCGGTGGCGCGATAGTGTGTTCGATCGTGAGATCGATAATGAGAGCGATGCTGAGATGGATAGTTAGGTCAATCGTGAAATCGATACTGAGGTCGATTGCTAGATTTGTAACAGGCCGAAATGGGCGCGAACGGTCTTTGTGTTAACGTGTCAGAAGGTCGTGAAAAGTGTGACTCCAATGTTCTTACAAAGTTCACGTTCAACGTTGCTGGAACGCTGAAGTTCGGAAACATCGGAGAAGTTTGGCGGCGAAAAACGAATTCGGAAACACATCGGCGGCGATAAACAAGTTCGGACAACATTCAGATAGCGCTCGGCGGCGACGAGCAAACTTCGAAAACATCAGAAATCCAAACAAAGGTTTAGCACATTAGGCAAATTGCAACAACGATCAAAAACAGTTCAAATACGTTCAAAAAAACGTGCAGGCACGTCAGAAGTAAGTTAAACAAGTCGAACAAGAGTTCAAAAGTTTGGAAAAGGTCGTCGTTGTGCCAGGGGGCCGTTTTGAATAGTTTCATTTAGAAAATTGGGTTTTGGGGGTTCGAACTCGAACTTTTGATTTTCCCTTTGCTCGAACTCAAACTTGAACTCTAATTCCTTCTCAGGAGATACCATCTCACCCACCATCAGCCAGTTACAGTGTTAGATCGACTGTAAGATCGATAGTGAGACCGATAGTCAGATCGATGGTGAAATCGATGGTGAGATTGCTAGTGAGACCGATCGCGACATTTGTTGTGAGATCGACAGTGAAGCCAAATGGTGCCCCGCCGGTGCTGCGGGGGTGCACTGTCCGTGGTGCGGGGGGGCCCCGCTGGTGGTGCGGGGGTGCTCTGTCGGTGATGCGGGGCTGCCCCGTCGGTGTCGGGGGGGGGGGCCGTCGATGGCGCGATAGTGAGATCGATAGTGATATCAATATTGAGATCGTCAGTGAGACCGGTAGTGAAGTCAATAGTGCGATCGACAGTGAGATCTGTTGTGCGATCGATTGCGATATCGATAATTCGTGAGATCGATCGTGAGACCGATAGTGAGATCGAAACCCCGTCGGTGGCGGGGGTTGCCCCGTCGTTGCCGAGATCGTGAAGCCGATAGTGGGATCGTTGGTAATATCGTTCGTGAGATCGATCGTGCGTTCAATTATGAGACCGATGCTGAGATCGATTATGAGATCGACTGTGACATCGATTGTGAGACCGACAGTGGGAACTGTTGTGACATCGATAGTGAGGCCGACTGTGAGGTCGATGGTAAAATCGATTGTCAGATCGATTGTGATATAGATTGTGAGAGCGATATTGAGATTTGTTGTGGGATCGTGAAATCGCTCGTGAGATCGATTGTGAGTTCGATTGCCAGATCGGTATTGGAATCGATCGTGGGATCTGTTCTGAAATTGTTCGTGGCATCGATGGTAGTGATCGGTCGTGAAACCGATTGTGAGATTTGTTGTGGGGTCGATAGCGGGATCTGTTGTGAGATCGATCGTGAGATTTGGTGTGATATCAATCGTGAGATCGCTCGTGAGATGTATAGTGGCATCGATGGTGAGACCGATTGTGAGATCGATTGTGAGAGCGATCGTGAGAGCTTATGTGCGATCGACAGTGGTTCCGAATGTGGGATCGATAATGCGTTCGGTTGTGAGATCGATGGCGAGATCGATCTCGAGATTGATCGCAAGATCTGTTGTGCAATTGGTCGTGGGGTCGCTTCTGAGACGGGTCGTGAAATTGATTGTCCAATCGATTGTGAGATCGGTTGTGGGGTCGATAGCGAAATCTTTTGTGAGACCGATAGTGAGATTTTTCGTGGGATTGATAGTGAAGTCGCCAGTGGGATTCGTTGCAAGATCGACAGCGGGATCTGTTGTGCGATCGGTACTGAGATCTGTTGTGAGATCGACCTTGGGATCACGCGTGGGATCTATAGTGGGGTAGACAGTGTGACCGATACTGAGAGCGACTGTGAGATCGATTGTGAAACCCATTGTGAGACCGATCGTGCGATCGATTGTGAGATCGATTGCGGGATCCGTAGTGAGATCGATAGTGAGAATTGTCGTGTGGTAGAGAATGATCCCGAATGCGAGATCGATTGTAACTTCGGTTGCCGGATAGTGAGGTATGTTGTTAGGTCGATCGTGGGATCGCTTGTGAGATCGATCGTGAGTTCGACTGTCGCATCCATCGTGATATCCAGTGTGAGATCGATCGCGAGACTTGGTGTGTGTGTGATCGATGGAGATGCCGAGTGTGAGATCTATAATGAGATTTGTTGCGAGATCGAGAGTTTGATCGATGTGGGATTGATGGCATGAACCGTTCGTTCCCCCCTCGAAACTCAATATGACCCGAATTGTGGTCGTATAGATAAACTGCGAGGAAGTGTCAGGCGGGCCCTGTTCGTCTTCGATCGTGCCAGGTGGGGTTATATCTTTCTGATCTGAAACGTGTATTTCGTGCAGCCCCTAAGGCAGGGACATGGGGCAGGCGGGTTGCTGACGCGTGCGTCTCGTATGAATCGCAAGGAAGTTTTGAGCGACAGCGCAATTCCACAAAGCATCGTACAGAAATCCATATCGAGAGTATGATTCCTGAGTGTCGAGGACGCGGCGTCTGAATAAAATCCCGCGCGAGAGTGCGATTCTTAGATGTGTTGTGAGGAAGTCCCGCGCGACAGCGCGAGTTCGAAATAAAGTGTGAGGACAACTTCACCTGAAACATACAAGAGTTACCTGAGGGTGATCAACAATACTTATGCTCTAGATTTGCTAATCCAATAGCAACAACACCAACAGCAGCAGCAACAACAACAACCACAGCAGCATCAACAACAGCAACAACAACAACAACAATCCCCGCCGCGGAACCTCACTTCAGTCAGTCACCCGCTTAGGGACAGTGAGTGACCGTTCGGCCCCCTCACTCTGGTGGTGTCTTGGGCTCTGGTGGTGATGTTCGACGATGTGTTTTTGTTGGTCCGCGACGTCGGGTCTCCTGGTCCCCCCCCCAACCGCTGTGCAGCTTTTGTAAGCAGCTAACGTGCGTGAAGTCCAGATTTCCTTTCGGGCCGCGCCCCTTCCATGAAAGTAAACTTGCCGGAGTTTTAAGAAAGACTGCCTCTAAGAGCGACCTCTCGCTGGAGTGCCCTCTGGTGTGCGGCTTTCCGGGGGTAGGCTGCCACTGCTGCATCTCTGACATCTTCGTGTCGTGAACAAGGCAAGGCGGGGTGTTTGGGTGGAGCTAGCTCTTGAATGATTAGTGGCACGGAGATGCCGATTCTTTCCATTGCATATATTGCTCAAGATTTTTTGCGGCAAACACCTCTCGCCGTGCATGCTTCCCGGCCCCACGGATCCTGGGTAGATCTTTCCCGTGCGTGATATCCGGGCTGGATTGTGGAGGGGCGCCGAGCTGTTCGCCTAGTACCTGGCCTTCTCTCCGGCCGTGCCGACGTGCCCCGCCGTGCCGACGTGCCCCGACGTGCCCCGACTGCAGGCTGTCGTGCCCAGCCCCGAACCTCTCGTGCCCGAGACTCGTGGCGCCCAACCTCACTTGCCAGGCCCCGCAGGTGCAGCTGTCGTGCCCCGACTTTCCTCAGGCGCCGGAGTTCAACCTGTCCTGCCCTGTCGCCCACCCCTTGCCTGCCGAGGAGGACTTCTTCGGCTACGACTTGCCCTCTCTGACTGTCGGCGTTCTCGTTGGCAGCGTGGGCAGTGTGGGTGTGACCTCTTGGGGAAGGCGCAGTATCCGCAGGGACGACAGCGAGAACGAGGGGGTGGAGGCGGCGGCTAGGGCGCAGGTCGCTCAGCTGCGGCGGCGTCAACCTCTCCAGCGAGCCTGGTGGCGTCACCAGGCGACTGGGTCCTCATACGGTATGATCTACCAGTGCCCGAGGTCTGGCATGAGCGCCCCATCACGGGGGTATCGGTGGTGCAGCCGTCCCTCGTCTCGACGTTCACGAACGACGTTGATCGCTACGCCGAGGACCTCAGCCAGCAGAGCGACGACATCGCAGAGGTCAGGTGGATCAACCAGCCTGGAGACACTTCTGTCGGTGTCGATGGGCGTCGGATCTACAGGTTCCTGAACCCTCCCGATGCGGCCACCTTCGAGCAGCTGAAGCGCGACGGAACCCTCATGGTGGGAGGCCGCGTCGCGGCCCCCGCTGCTGCTGCCGCCGTCGTGCCAGGAGGCGCAGGAGCCGCGAGAGCCGCAGTCCCCCACCGGGGAGCTGGATTGGCAGGTGTCGCGGGACGTGCAGGCGCAGTGGTGCCCACGGCTCCGCCTGGCTCAGTGTGGGTTGCGACGGAGGACTGCCATGGGCTCTCTCGAGGTCAGGTTCTGCCTGACCCGCTCCCCGATGGCACGCAGGTGCTCGGGGATTGCGCCGTGTTCCCCCCTCCCCGCGGCTAACGTGACGGCTCGCCTGGTGGCGCGCCGAGACGTCGAGAGCTATGTGGTTGATGACCTCAGGGTTATGCACGCGAAGTTCAATCAAGAGGGAGTCGGACGACGACCTTTCGCCGACGCCGTAGACCACCAGCTAGCGGACAAGCCAGAGGGCGGAGCCATGGTCGACGGCCCTCGCGCCTGCCTGTCCCTCGTGCGCTCCTGGCGCGACGCGGGTCTCTCGGCGGTGACTCACCGCGAGAGCTGGATCTGCGAGGCGGCAGGATCCCCGAGGGCGACCGCTCGGTCTACGAGCACGACGTCATCTGCAGGGTGCTCGCGCCTATGCTGACAGTGGACCAGCTCAGTCAACATCGGGGCGCTGCAGTCGGCTGAGCTCCTCGCGAGGCGCCTCCAGCTCATTGGGGATGCGCACCGTGGCTCACCATCCATGCCCGACTACTCTGCCAGTGGCGTCTACGTGGGCCTCGCCACAAGGAAGGACGGTGCCTCCACGGTGCCGGCGTTCCAGAAGTACATAGCCGAGAGCCTGAAGGACCGCTCGGCCATCCTGAAGGAAGCGCGCAAGGCGAAGCAGGAGGCCAAGTTGAGGAGGAACATCCCCAAGCGTGCCCCAGGCGGAGCTGGGGCAGATGGCGGATCACTTCCTCAGGCTGGAGGCTAGGGCCGACCTCCAGCCGAGATCAGGCCCCTCCGCGGGTAGGGCCCGCCGCAGTTTTGTGTTCTCAGCCTGGCCGCCAGCGTGATCTCTTCCCGCTGCCGCCGGTGGGGCCGACGCCGCCCACGAGGCCAGGGACTACGGTGCGCGTCCGCCGCAGGCTGGCACGCCGCCGCACCCTCGAGGCTGAGTGCAACGAGGTCATCGACGGCCTCAACATGCTTCACCCTCCTGCACAGCAGCGCGGCGCTCCCAATGCTGCTCAGAGGGAGGCCCATCGGGCCATTTTCTCCCAGGTGAAGGCTGCCCCAAGAGCCAGCGCCGTGTGCGCCCGCCGTGGGGCCGCTCGTGAGCTTCTGGCTAGCCGCCTCGCGTGCACCGGCGACGAGGCCAAGAGTCCGGTAGTGCAGTATGGCAGATCTTGTGTTGACATCCCCAGAGCGGGATCGGCTGCGCCCTGGGTTGAGGCGGTGATCGACCCGGTCGGGAGGGAGTATCTGCTGCAGTTCGAGACGCGAATGCTTCGCTCTGCTGATGAATGGGGCCAGATCGTAGAGACCGAGCCCCCCATCACCCCGTGCATGGGCGACTGCCTGCGTAAGCATCAGGACGCTTGCGTCACTTTCGTGGGCGACCTCGTGTCCGCAGGCATGGTGTCGTTCTCTTTCAATCCTAAGGACATTGTGACCACTTTCTTCGCTGCCAAGAAGAACGGTCAGCAGCGCCTCGTCTGGGGCGCCCGTGTTCCGAACAGGCGTTTCCGCCACGCGCCCTCTCAGAGTACGGGGGCGTCGGCGGCCTACGGGAGGATCGAGCTCGGGCGCGCTGCCGACGACAGCGGCAAATTCAGGGATGCCCTGTACTGCGCCCAGGCCGACACACGCAACCCTTTCTACATACTGGGTCTCAGCGAGGAGCTCGGCCTGTTCTTTTCATTGCCACCTGTGCCCGAGGCCATGCTGTCGCAGTAGGGTCGCAGCGCAGTGGATGCCCCTCAGGTGGACCGCGGGGGTTGGGTGTGGCCCTTCCTCTCGGTGGCCCCGATGGGGGGAGACTGAGCTCTCTGGCTTGGGCAGCGCTGCGACGTCTTTCGCTGCTTGCAGGCGTCCTCGCTGGGTCCTGAGCGTCTGCTCACGGATCGCGGCCCAGTTCCATCGCTGGAAGGGGGGTCTGCCGTGTCTGCTGCCCTATTGTGATAACATCAACGTGGTTGGCACTCATCCAGCACGGTGTGACAGCACGCTCGATGACATCATTGCCGACTGGGCATCCTTCGGCGTCGAAGTCCACGAGGTGGTAGGGGCCTCACCGACGTTCACCGGCTTGTGCCGCCTCATCGACGGGGTGCAGGGCATTGACTTTTCGAAGCCCGAGCGCCCCGAGAGGCTCAGGCAAACCTGCCTCTGGCTAGAGAGTAGGCCGAGGGTCACAGGGCAAGCTATTAAACGTTTTGTCGGTCACGTCATTGATCACGTCATGCTTCGCCGTGAGTTGCTTCGTATACTCAGGAACCTCTACGATTTCATCAGGTGCCATTACACTGACAGAGTACGCCTGTGGCCCTCGGCGGCGCTCGGAGTTTCCCAGTGCCGTTCCCTGCTGCGCACGATGTTCGGCAATTTGAGAATGCCGTGGAGTTCCACAGTCGTCGCTACTGACGCATGCCTCTCGGGGATGGCCGTGGCTGCAGCCCCCCCCCCTCCTCCGCCGTTGCGTCTATCGGAAGAACCAGCGAAAGGTGGGGGTGCAGGGCCCCGTCAGCCATGCGTGCACGCACGTCTGCGCCGGGCCCCACAATGGACTCCTACGGGGACGCGATGGGGATCAACAAGGGGCTCCATCTTGGGGAGCAGCTGGATGTCTTCGGGGACGTCAACACCGTCTTGGGCTTCAGGGGGCCCACAACGAGGGCCCCTGGGAGCTCAACCCCGACTCTCACGAGGTCCCCCATCGAGTTCCTCAAGGAAGAGCTCTGGAGCGAGGTCTTCGCAGCCCCCTTCCACGTCTCGGAGACCATCGCTGTCTCGGAGGCGCGGGCCAGCAACGCGGGGTCCAGGCGCGTACTTCGGTCCTTCAGGGCCTTCAACAAGCGGCACCTGAAGCTAGGCGACAACCTGGGAACCGTCCTGGCCCTCTCCAGAGGCTGATGCTCTTCTATCGGGCTTCTCCCGCGCTGCCGCCGAGAGACCGCCTATTCCATCACAGCCAATGTTCGGTTCGAGGGCCGCTGGATCCCATCCGAGCACAACCGATCCGACCACGGCTCGCGCCGCTGGGAGACCAAGGATGGAGACGTCGCGGCTACGAAGGGCGCCCGCCCGCCGCGCTGCCCAGGGAGCCCGCCCGCTCGACAAGGCCAGCCTGCGAGGGCGGCCGTTCGAGGGCAGCTCGCGCGAGGAGCGGGCAGCCAGGAGGGCGGCAGCCTCAGGCGCGTTCCACCGCACCACGGAGGGCAAGCAGTCTTTCCTGGAGGCGAACGCTGTGGCTCCAGCCACCCAGGACGTCTACGCGGACTGCGTGCTGGAGCTCAAGCGCTTCGTCGTGGCCCACGGCTTTTCGCTGGGCACCCCAGCCGAGGCCGACCTGGCGCTGACGAACTTCGCCAACTACGCCTGTGCAGAGGGCCTGGACAGGGGGGTCGTGCACCGGACCTACGCAGCCTTCCTCTCAGAGCACCCCGACTTTTCCCCGCGGGGCGCGCTGCGCCTCCCGAGGTTGTCGCGAACGATGCAAGGCCGGGAGAGGCTTGGCCCAGGACTCACGAGGCCGCCGATGCAGTGGATCCTGACCTGCCTGATCGCCCAGATCATGACCGTCGACTTCAAGGCGCCCGTGGCAGCGCTGATGGTTCTGACGATGTTCCTGGCCTACCTCCGCCCGTCCGAGGCGGAGAACCTGCTGGAGGAGGATCTGGTGCCCCCGTCCGCGTCGTCCAGCTTCTTCGTGCTGAACCTCCACTCCAGCGACCGCGGCGAGGTGAGCAAGGTCAGGCTCTCCGACGAGTCGATCATGCTCGACTCCGTCGAGGCGGAGTGGCTCGGGGATCTGCTGCGCGCGATCAAGAGCGGCCTGCCTCGACGCCCGCTGTTCAGGCCCACCGTGCTTCAGCTGCGCGATTTCTGGATCAAGGCGTTCAGAATCCTCGGCATCCCCAACAAGTGCGCGCTGATCCAGCTACGCCACGGCGGCCCCTCCCACGACCGACTCTAACGTCAGCGGTCTCTACCAGAGATCAAGGAGCGCGGGAGGTGGGCTTCCGACAGGAGCGCCAGGCGCTACGAGGCGCACGCGCCCATCCAGCAGCAGGAGGCCACTCTGCCAGCCGCCGTCGTCAAGAGAGCCAGGGGCGCCCCAGGCCAGTTCGAGCGGCTCCTGCGCGAGGCTGCCAGCGCAAGCGCGGAGCCAGCGGCCAGGGCCTGCACAGGCCCAAGGCCCGCCGCGGCGTTTCGGGCCGCCACCCGGGCCCGGCCGCGCCGCCCCGCCTTTCGTCGAGTTCATGCGCGGGCCCGCCAACCTTGCCAGTGCTGTTGGCAGGCGCGGGCTGGCAGCCGAAGGCTGTGACTGCATCGACGGGGCTCAAGCCGACCTCGCAGGCCCACAAGTGATCGCTTGTTTTCGCCAGCGCATTGCGACTAGACAGCTGTGTGGTTTGCAATTTGGCTTCGACTGTAAGACCTGGTCTAGAGCCAGGAATAACGACGGGCTTGGACCGCCCCCGCTTCGCAGTGACGATTGTCAGTTTGGCCTCCCATCCCTCTCAACAGCGGACCTGTCGAAAGTAAGTGAGGCCAACCTGATTCTGTCACGCGTCCTGAGTCTGGTCGAGGCTGCTGCCTCCGCGGGCCGTGTCGTTATGATCGAGAACTCAACTTCATCCAGACTCTGGCTCGTACCGCAACATCTTGAGCTAGTAACCCGTTTCAATGCAAAGTTTCAGCGAGTTGACTATTGCCAGTATCGCGTGCCTTGGCGGAAGGACGCAATCTTGTTGTCTTTCAACCTTCTTGAGCTAGATAATTTTCTCCATGTCTGTGAGGGCAGCCAGGCGCGATGCAGCGCCACTGGCAAAGCTCACATCACCTTGCGAGGGAAAGACTCGCAAAGTTTGTTCTGGACGTCTCGTGCCTGCCCCTATCCTCCTGCCCTTTTGTTCAGTCCTGGCGGAAGTGATCTGCCAGCGAGCCAACACATTCTTTGAAGGTGGGTAGGAGCTTCAGTTCTTTGGAGGCAGCGAGCTGCCAACTCTCGAGCCGCCCACCGCATGGGCGACGCGATTCGCTACCGCAGACATGGCCATAATGTTTTGGCCCTGGCAAAAAAGAAGAGCTTGGGCATTGTCACATCTTGGCATGGAGTTGAGCATTGATCATGGGTGGAGCTAGCTCTTGAATGATTAGTGGCACGGAGATGCCGATTCTTTCCATTGCGTATATTGCTCAAGATTTTTAGCGGCCCCACCGTCCTTCCCCCTTCTCTTCCCTCTTCTTCTCCCTATCGGGGCTTCAGTTCTTTGGAGGCAGCGAACTGCCAACTCTCGAGCCGCCCACAGCATGGGCGACGCGATTCGCTACTGCAGGCATGGCCATAATCTTCTGGCCTGGCAAAAAAGAGCTTGGGCATTGTCACTTCTTGGCATGGAGTTGAACGTTCGTTGATCATTATTTTTCCAGCCGCTGGGGGCCCTCCCCGAGACCCGGGGCCGTAAAGAACGGCTCGGGATGAAAAGCTGGTCTCTGGGGAAGGGCCAGAAGGGGCTCCAGGCCGCTGGAGAGCCGCGTGGCGAACAAACCATGACGTCAGATGCCTGGGATCGCATGGTCCAAATCCGCTCTACATCGGCCCCTGGACCCCTCACGGGGTCCAGCCCGTTTTTCCGAAACGGGTCCGGCCGTGGCGACGAGACGCTTCCAGGAGACCCCCAAAAACCGCCGAAAAGAGCCTCAGGGAGTGCCGCCGCTGACTCGAACGGCCCCCCCCCATCTGAGATCGGCAGGCCGCGCACCAGAGGCCACTCTTGCCACGGGCCAACTTCTGGCATCCGCCGATCCGATATTTGCACTTCACGGCCCTCGGAGGTTACGACCGCTTTCCTGGGTGTATTATTTCGCCCCGCATCCAGTTTTGATTCTCCCGGAGCCTGGAAGCGATCACCCGACGGCCGACACCTAGGAACAACGCCTGGACTGAGAGCGGCAGATCGTCGCAGATCCGGGCCCTCTCCGTGTCAGCCGAGAGGCCCCTTGTGGCGACCCGATAGTTTCGAGCCTCGGGACGCCGGACCTCCTCGACCCTTTCCTTCGATGCTCGTTTTGGGGGCCTTCCTGGGGCCCACCTACAGGTTCGACTCAGGTTCGACTCAGATTCGACTCAGGATCGACTCAGGTTCGACTCAGGTTCGACGCAGGTTCGACTCAGGTTCGACGCACGAGTGGAGCGAGTGGCTCCAGGAAGGTCCCCAGAATGGGCATCTAACTTTCCCCAGGACCAGTCTTTCTTGTTTTGTGAACTGTGTTGACAGTTCCAGGGCCCGGGGCCGACCCCTGGAAGCCGAAGGTGCAGAGAAGCCGGAGATGTGATGTTTCGGGTCTCTGGAGCTCTGGGGAGGCCACCCTCTGCGGAATACAGTGGGGACGCGCATCAAGAAGCCATCTGCTTTTCGTCGGTTGAAGTAACTGCTGCGTCCAGGGTGCTCGGGGTCTGGGTTTCTTGCGAGCGTTTCTAGCGGCCGCGTCCGCACTGTACCTCACGACGTGCGGAATCGCCTTGAGCCGCCGGATCAAACAGCATTCCCGCGGAATCCTGGAGACACGAAGCCTGGAATCGGGACATCCCCAACCCTGGAAGACACAACTACGACCACAGCACGAAGCACAGACGCTCCGTGCCTTTTCGTTCTGCTGGTCGTCCCGCCCTCCCGTCCCGTATGTTCAGGACGCTGGCTGGATCCCCAGACATCAGGCGCTCCAGTTTTTTCGATGCGTGGACCCCCGGAGGTCTGGACCACTTTCACCCCAGGGCCGGTTTTCCACCCCGAGTCGTTATCTGAAGGCCCCGGGGCCCACTCAGGGCCCTCCGAGGCAGAAAATAACGCAGAAACGTGCCGCTCCAAATTTTTTCGGAGCCTCGGATCTCTGGGCGCATGCTGCACCCAAACTTTCGCAGTCTCTGGGCTTCGTACGCCCCCCCCCCCTCCCCTCTCTGCGTGCCAGCCGAGAGTCGAAGAGGAAACGTCCGCATGAACATACATACTCGTTTTGAGCCCCGCGCCGATGAGAGGGGTCCGCCGCCGCGTCTGGCGCGCTCCGCGCGGCAGGGAAGGGGCCCAGCGACGATCCAAGAATTCCGCGCGGAGCGCCGAACGTTTAATGTTACTTCAGTTTTTCGATCCTCTAGAGAGGCCCCGGGACTGCCAGAAAACGATTCGGGATTAAAATGCTGGCCCCAGTGGAAAGCCCCAGTACGCAGGACCCGTTTCCCTCAGGAACTGTTCTCAGACCCCCGACGTTATGATTCTTTCATAGTGTCGACCCTTGAGGTCTCGACCCATTCCCCGGGACCCGTTTGTCATCCCGAGTCCTTTTTTGACGGTTCCGAGGCCTGGTAAGGGCCCCCGGAGGCCGAAAGTAGCCAGCAATTGTCCGTCGTGATTTTTTCATGACTCGAGGGGGTCGGGGCTTCCTTCACGCTGCCCTTCTGCGTGCCAGCCGACAGGCCTGCGTCCTCGCCGGCGCCGCCGCCGCCCTCCTCGCCGCCGCCTCCGCGCTGGCGCGCGGCTGTGCCGCGGGCGGACGCCGAGCGAGCACGCAGGAGGCGGCGGGCCTCTTGCAGGCACGGCCCCTGGAGGATCGTGGCGGCGAAGGTCCCCAGGTCTCCTCTCGCCCTCCTCCTCTCGCCCCCCTCCTCGTCCTCCTCTCGCCCCCCTCCTCCTCGTCCTTAATTTGTTTTGGGGGAAGTCCGTCTGGGACGGCATATGGCCCGCTCCAACCCAGACCTCGAGCGTATTGAAAGATTCAATACGGAGTTTTTCCACCGTTTTCGGCATCTGCTGGCCTCCGCTGGGCTCAGGGCCGTCCAAAAACGGCTCAGGATGAAAAGCCGTTCCAGGGGAAGGGGTCGAGACTTCCAGGGGCCCCGTATTGAACAAAAGCAGGACATCGTCAGATACATTCCCTGAGAACCTGGCGGCTCAATTTCTTCGCCTCGGTTTCGGGCCCCAGTCCCATCACAGATCGATCCGGGTCAAAATGGCGCGGAATCATGGGTTGTATGAGTGTTGACGATGCCTCATTGTCGTTCGCGATGTGGTTCGAGTTTTTTTGGCGTTCTCGACGGGTGCGCCTCGCCGAGAGCGTTCTGGGGGTGGTCGGATCGTCCTGAACGGATGCCTGAGAGCCGAGTTATGATCCAATAGCCCATGGTGGAATCAATGGCAGAGGTAGGGTCATGCCCAACCCATGAACGTGCGGAGTCGCTATCGGGGACCTATCGCCGAACTATCGGCGATGTATCGCCGATTCCAGCTCGATGTTCCCCCGCCCCCCCCCCATCTGAGCCAGCCTCCTCTGGGCACGGCCCCTGGAGGATCGGGGCGGCGAAGAAGGCCTTCCGTCGTTCAGAATTTTTCTCGGCGGAGAGGGGTGAAATTCCGTGCCCGCCGGTGACTGACTGATTGACTGACTGATTGACTGACTGATTGACTGACTGAACGTCAGGAGGGCACCTTGAACAACACATTTCAAACCGCCCGCGGGCGTGCAACCGCAACTGGGCGACACATTTCGACCCGTCCGCGGGCGCGCAACCGCAACCGCAACTGGGCGACACATTTCAACCCGCCCGCGGGCGCGCAACCGCAACCGCACCTGGGCGACACATTTCAACCCGCCCGCGGGCGCGCAACCGCAACTGGGCGACACATTTCAACCCGCCCGCGGGCGCGCAACCGCAACCGCAACTGGGCGACACATTTCGACCCGCCCGCGGGCGCGCAACCGCAACCGCACCTGGGCGACACATTTCAACCCGCCCGCGGGCGCGCAACCGCAACCGCACCTGGGCGACACATTTCAACCCGCCCGCGGGCGCGCAACCGCAACCGCAACTGGGCGACACATTTCGACCCGCCCGCGGGCGCGCAACCGCAACCGCACCTGGGCGACACGACCCGCCCGGGCGCGCAACTTTCAACCCGCCCGCGGGCGCGCAACCGCAACCGCAACACATCGCAACCGCAACTGGGCGACACATTTCACCCGCCCGCGGGCGCGCAACCGCAACCGCAACTGGGCGACACATTTCGCCCGCCCGCGGGCGCGCAACCGCAACCGCACTGGGCGACACATTTCAACCCGCCCGCGGGCGCGCAACCGCAACCGCACCTGGGCGACACATTTCAAACCCGCCCGCGGGCGCGCAACCGCAACTTTTCAACCCGCCCGCGGGCGCGCATGGGCGACACATTTCAACCCGCCCGCGGGCGCGCAACCGCAACTGGGCGACACATTTCAACCCGCCCGCGGGCGCGCAACCGCAACCGCAACTGGGCGACACATTTCAACCCGCCCGCGGGCGCGCAACCGCAACCGCAACTGGGCGACACATTTCAACCCGCCCGCGGGCGCGCAACCGGCAACACATCTGCGCGGCGCGCAACCGCAACCGCAACTGGGCGACACATTTCGACCCGCCCGCGGGCGCGCAACCGCAACCGCAACTGGGCGACACATTTCGACCCGCCCGCGGGCGCGCAAGCGCAACTGGGCGACACATTTCGACCCGCCCGCGGGCGCGCAACCGCAACCGCAACTGGGCGACACATTTCAACCCGCCCGCGCCGCAACCGCACTTGGGCGACACATTTCAACAGCGCAACCGCAACTGGGCGACACATTTCGACCCGCCCGCGGGCGCGCACCGCACCGCAACTGGGCGAACATTTCGACCCGCCCGCGGGCGCGCAACCGCAACCGCAATTGGGCGACACATTTCAACCCCGCCGCGCAACCGCAACCGCACCTGGGCGACACATTTCAACCCGCCCGCTACACATTTCTGCAACCGCATGGGCGACACATTTCGACCCGCCCGCGCAACCGCATTTCAACCCGCCCGCGGGCGCGCAACCGCAACCGCACCTGGGCGACACATTTCAACCCGCCCGCGGGCGCGCAACCGCAACCGAGGGCGCACATTTCGACCCGCCCGCGGGCGCGCAACCGCAACCGCACCTGGGCGACACATTTCGACCCGCCCGCGGGCGCGCAACCAACCGCACCTGGGCGACACAATTCAACCCGCCCGCGGCGCAACCGCAACCGCATCTGGGCGACACATTTCGACCGCCCGTTGGCGCGCAACCGCAACTGGGCGACACATTTCGACCCGCCCGCGGGCGCGCAACCGCAACCGCAACTGGGCGACACATTTCGACCCGCCCGCGGGCGCGCGACCGCCACCGCAACTGGGCGACACATTTCGACCCGCCCGCGGGCGCGCAACCGCAACCGCAATTGGGCGACACATTTCAACCCGCCCGCGGGCGCGCAACCGCAACCGCACCTGAGCGACACATTTCAACCCGCCCGCGGGCGCGCAACTGCAACCGCTACTGGGTAGGGCGAGTTGAGACAACGGCTGTTGGCCTCCAGGGGATCCTCGCGTCGCCACGGACGGACGTAGCTCGGAAAATTTGTGCGTTTGTGCCCTGGGAGAGATCCGGGGACCGATTTCGAGCTGCCGTTGTCTCAACTCGCCCTGCTCCGAGAAGAGGACGTTCGTTGATTTTGCAGGGCTTTCTTCCCGGACCTCCCGGGCCCTCTAGGCGGAGGGTTTTCGCTGTCTTGGGCCTCTGGGGGGCTTCGCTGGGCCCCAGGATCGTCAGAAAAAATACTCAGGATGAGGAGCCGCTCCCCAGGAAGGGATCGAGACTTCCTGGGGCCCCGGTTTGAAAAAGCAGGACATCGGAGCTCTCGGAATTCGCCGCGCGATGCTTTCCCGGGGCCTGCGCCTGGTGGAGAGCCCTCTGGGTTTTCCTGGGTCGTCCCGGGCGTCGGAGCGGTCAGGGGCAACGTCAGAGGGGGGTGGGGATTGGCTCAGGGGGGGCGACGCATCGAGTTCCAATCGTTCGGTCCTCGCCGACAGGGGCTGTCAGGGTTCCTGGCCTCTCTGCTAAGGGTCAACGCTCGGGGGGGATACGCTCAGGGGGAGGCGCATCGAGCCCCGATCACCCACCGATCCCCGATGGGGGCCTGTCGCCGATCCATCGGCGATGCGTTGCCGATGCCAGCTCGAGATTTCCCCGCCCGACGAGCCAGTCCCCTCCCCACGTTGCCCCTCAAC